TTTCATTCATAATACAGAGTCCAAACAAAATTTACTGCAAAATATTCCACAAAGAATGAGATCCTCAGCAGCTGTAAATGAGCATCATTTCACTGAAGCTAATGGATTTATACCTCTTAGTATCAGTTTTGGGTCTGATTCATTATTTTTGGACTCTAAATTCCTCACTAAGTTTTGCTTCTCTCTTTACAACAAAAGTACTGACAGGAAAATGTTAGTAACAGCTCTTATTCTTAGTATCTTTCTTATTAATTTGAGTAGGCTCTTTTTTTTTCAGTTACTTCTAACTTTGATGTTGTTAAATATGGCCACACTCTGAAGACTCACAGTACTGGTGAATCTGTTTTCCTGGAATATCTTGTGCTGTTTTCAGAATTGCATGATTGTGTGACATCTGCTCCACATCTCATACGTGATCGAGCGGGTAGGTACAGATGGCTGATGACTCACCTCACAACACCGAACACTGGTTTGCCTTCTGAGAAGCAACATCTTCATATTAATTTTGTAAGAGTCTTGCAAAGATATAACTGGTGTGCCTGGTTTGATAGCAGGTAACGTAAGTTACAGGAAATGCACAGGGATGCAACAGCTATATTTATTCTAGGACTGGGGGTAATACTTTAAAATTCAATGTATGGGTTACTATCAGATAAATCCACAAAAGGAAATTAGGTTCACTGCTGTACTTTCTCAGTTTTAGGCATCTAAATAGCAAAACCTGGATCACCAAATCAGAATGGAGACCTAGGTTTCCTATGCATAGGAGAAACAGAATAATATCCACAGAAGCAATTCAGTAGGAATCAGGAAACGCCAGATAAAAAGATATACCTTTGATTTGTCTGCCCTGTTCCAGGCTGCAGGGGAATACCATGAAGATTCACAGATCATAGACCTGAGTAGAAGGACATTCCCAGCTCTTGTAACATCCCACGACAGATAAAGTATGCACCTGTGCTGTTATTGGAGATGTTTGTTCTGCTCCCTCCTCTGTGGACTGTCACATTGAGACAGGCCCAGCCCAGTTAGCATGTGTCGCTTGGGTAGGCTAAATTTTGATCAGTTGTGAGAAAACTACTGCAAGAAGTCACAGCTTTATTTATAATGACATTACCTTGTAAAGGTAACTTGCTTCATCACTAAAAGGAAAGAAATAGGGTAACAGTTTGGTATCCCCTCTTATTCTTCCAGACTCCTTGGCCAGCAGAACAAGATGACTGGGGGGAACTCCACAGAACAAGACGACTGGGAGGAGCTCCAAAGAGCCATTACTAAACCACTTAATTTACAGCTCTATATACCAAGTCATCATATGCAAATTTAAAACTAAGTACTGTTATATACCTTGAAATAGCTTAAATCAAAAATCATCAACTTGATTGCATGCACATGATTTCCATATTAAAAATGTAATTAGCGTTTTAACAAACATATCCAAATCCTTCAGGATCAAAAACCCCATGCCAGCCTCACAAGCATCACCTCAAAATGCGACCACCCAGCTTAAGTATGCTTCAGTCCCAAAGACCAACACATCAGAATGCTTTAGTGGCCTGTTAACATTTTTGTTTAAGACTTTCTGTGGCAGTGGTGTCATTCCCATTTCTTTACCCTTATGTCAACTAACAGAAGTTCCTAATGAGCCAAGTCTCTCGGATGCTCAACTGCTAATGCCATTAACATTACCAATGACCTGTGCATGACTAACAGCTGTGTCCTGAGGAAACTGAACTCATACCTTCCATTTCCACATAAACTGCCCTAATGAGTGTCCCAGGAAGAAAAGAAGGGAGGATACGATGGCTAGAGAGGAAAGAAGGAAGACGTTGTCATTGCCGATTCTGATTCATGCCATGTGGAACATACATTAACAAGATCTAACAGAGGAAGCCAGCAAGGGTGAGAAAGACTATAACCCAGTAGCTATAAGGACATATTAATCAGATTAAGGACTTGGCCACAGTTCCCTTTTAAAGGTGAATGGCATGTCCATGGGTATTTGGAGTCCTGTTCTTCATCCCTCTAGTATACTCCATGAAAAAATAGTGGAAGTGCTTCAGCAAAAAAGATTTAAAATACCACAGTCCAGAATAACCTGGAACTCAGTAGCCAGCTTTATAACCAAAGAAATGGATTACGGCTACAGGCAACAGGGAGAGGAAGTGAGCATGTCTGCACTACATCCTAGGTAAGTATTCCCACTAGCAGGCAATGCCTCAAAGGGCAACTGCCCCTCTTCTATCACTTCATGGGCACCTGGGGATATGTTCCTAAAATACACTGTATGGTGACTCCCACTGCAGGACTTTAGATATTAGAAAGCATTGCTGAGCAGCATTAAGACAAAAGCTTTAGTTACGTTCAAATGATGGATATGGTTAGTTTCTCTGAACAGCTAAAGTCCGACTACTATCTGCTAAACATAAAGCAAATCCTTAAAATGGTACTGATGTCACTTATATTCCTTGACAGTTGGTAATTAAAATCCCCGCATGCCCCAAACCAGCAAAAGCTAAGTCTCCCTCCCCCAAATGCTATGTAATGATGGTAATTAATTCTCACAGAAAAGATCTTTTGGGGCTGATACTTCTCTCATAGTAATTTTTTGTCATTCAAGTTCTACTAACAACTGTTGAGTTTACACCATGGTGCCAAAGAGGTATATTAGATCCTTCAAGCTATCCAGAGCTTATACGGCTCATTTGGCACCTCTTTGTTGCTGACACATGCAGAACTTTAACAGATGGTCTTACAATACTGGCAGTTGTTTTGTACTGTGCTAGTGGTGAGGGGAAATACTCTACACAAATTGTCTGCAATTCTGGAAAATAAATGAAGTACAAATCCATATTAACCTCAAAAGCCAAACTATAAAAAGTCAGATTAGTCATTTAATGATGTATGTGCTCTGGGTTAAATGCTCAGCTGCTGCAAAATGGCAATATTTCCCTGCAGCCAGGAGAACTATACTTTGCTTCAGTTTCTATCAGGAATATCCATAAAGACTGTATCATTAGAAAGGCATTGAAATGTATTAGGAATAAGCCTTGAAACCCTTCCTCATGTGATCAGCCCTGAGTATCAGCTAAAGTACCTCCATAAACTGCATATTTTCACATAAAAAGTGAAGCAACATGATGCAACTTAGGTTAATCAAATCTCTCTTTTTTTCCCCTGTGCCAAACAGAATTCAAGAAATGTACATCAGCTACTGTGCAAATGTTGAAATCAACAGCAACGACGGCTTAAACAGCAATTTTATGTTTTTCCTCAGACATTTAAAAGGAGCGGTATGTACCACAAGCTGAATTTTACACTCACTCATTTGGGTTGAACTAGGCAACTGTGCGTGCTGAACAGTGCTTTCCAAAAGTAAACCAAACCATTTCCCTCACTAGTGTTTCACCTCCACGAAATGTATGTTCGTAATTATGTTTTACAGTCTACTAGTGCAAATTTATAACAGGCTTTTAGAAAATCACAGATGTTTTAGTCCTATCATCACCTCTTCTATTCCCTTTAAATGAAACATAGCTTGAATGATACTTAAAACTGACATTTCAGAGGCCTGGTCATTCAGTTCCCATCTATTTTAATGTATATATTTAGATGGTATGTCAGTCACCTTGTATGTTATTTCCATAATGGCAGTTACACTGAGACACAGTTCCCTAAGGTAGTTTTAAAGCCGTAAAAGGAAGTAGAGCCCTAAAAGCATTATCACAGAAGAGTCCTTCAAATGCAAGAGGCGTGTTCCAATCCTCTGCTCGGACTGAATCACAGCTGTATACATTTTTTTTTTATTTTATCCATTAAGGTTGCTTTAGAAACCATGGTTGCCGGAACTGGCTGATATTACACATCTGTGACTTTGATACAAATGAAATAATCTTCATCAGTTTTATGCCTCATTTTATACTGAAAGATCAAACAACAGCAAAGTTTGGAGCTGTTAACAAAAAAGTAATAAAATACTAAAACAACGAAATTTCAGATAGGTTTCATGTTTTCTTTTCCTCCCTCAGGACTTTTGCCAGATGACACAACGTATTTCCTCGAAGTACTTTCACAAATGCAAGATTATCTGAAAGCATAAATTATTTCTCCTCATGAAAAAAAGAAAATCAAAAGAAATGTTAAGCAGACAGTCCCAAGGTAGGAACATCAATCCCTCTTTCTCTTCCCAGGCACAAACATTTTGTCAAATATTTCAAGGTATGATCCTCAATGTAGCACTTTGCTGGAAATTCCTGGGAGAGAAGAGGGGTTGGTATACATATTTTAGTACAAATAATGCAAGCACATCCTATCCCGGGAATAAGTCCTCCCTTACAGATGCAGAATATGAAGCAACACGATGGGAAAACTTAGTAACTTCCAGTTACTGAGTGCCTTCCCAGCTTCTACAACAAAGGTCATGGGCACCCCCTTCCTTAAGCCCATGCTCTGCAGAGCTCACCACAGATCCATTTATAGGTGAGCATTTCCTGCTCTTGGAACATACAGAAACCTTTCTGGCAAGAGGGACACGAAATTAAAGGAATCTCTTGGGGAAAAGACAGAAGGAAGGTGATAGGAGCACAGGATTTATTTTATCCATTCTAATAACATTCAGCACTTTGCCAGACACCTTCTAGGGAAGGCTCAAGTAGCCTTGGACTAAACAATAATGAAACCATCTGTCTACAGCTGCAATTAAAGGTCATTCTTAATGATCTGGAATGCTGTACTTGGTAAAACAGTAGGGATTCAGGAGATTTATAAATCTAAAAGAGAAAAAAACCCAAACAAAACACAAGTGCAACACTTCCACAAGGAGATTACATCTGTTGGTGAATACAGATCTTCACACTGCAATTCATGTCCCAAGCTGGGCATTACTCAATTTTGATATAACAAAATCCTACGGAATCAGAACACAGTTAGTCTTTGTGATTTATCTACTTGCCTATCTAATATTTTCTGAAATGATATACAACATTTTTCTTCTTAAATACCTTTATAGTTTCAGTAGGCACTCCAGGCTCTGGAACTTTATCCAAGTAAGTAGTCAAGTCTTGATCCACGTGTTCAAACACTAACGTTAGTTTGGTCTCTCTGTCTGTTCGTGACACAGTGCACACGTCAAACAATCTGAGAAGAGGAGAGGAAGAGGTAAGCACACAGGAACCAGTGTAGACATCCGTACCTTGCAGCTCATACATGTCTATTTAAATTTTGTACAGTATATAGAATCATAGAATGGTTTGGGTTTGAAAGGACCTTAAGATCATCTAGTTCTAACCCCCCTGCCATGGGCAGGACAGCCCTGCCATGGGCAGTATAGGATGGCAAAAAGAGCTTTCCAAAGATAGAGCAATCTTTGAGCTCTCGATCATCAGATAACTACTGATACACCAACAATATCTCTCTTTCATGCGTGGATTCTGAAATACAGTTAAAGATTAAAAATTCATCAGCTGTTCAAAGTCAAATAATTACCTGAAAAAAATTCTTTCTGGTACAGCAACTAGAGTTAATACACAAAATTACATGATATTTATCCACATTCTATGCTGCAGCACTTAAGAGTCACTTTAAAAAAGAATAGTGAGAAACATGTTTGAGATACGGGGTGTTTGCATGCACCTTCTTCCCACATAACTCCCATGCTCACCATTACACCACTTTGTATCTCCTTTGGCAGGAACAGAACATTTTTGCTGATTACTCATGCAAGTTCCTGGATGCAAGGAATACCTTCAGTCAGGATGCAGTCTGGAGAAAAACTTTGTGCACAAGATGCCACTGCTGAGAAAGATTTCCTCTCTCATCACTTTCTGTCATTCTTTTGCTAAAATTTCGCTATCATTTTACCTTGTTGCACAACATCAGACTAATTTGCAAAGCTCTTCATAATGTCACATTCCTGTCTGATTACTCTATTTTCTATTGTTTTCTCTATTTAATTAGGATTTCTCTCATCTTCTCCACCTCACCTACAGTCCCAGCTTTAATCACTGTTTTATCTTTTTCACAAATGTCTGCCCATCCTGTTGTGCTTGACACCTTACTCATACCAGTGACTTTCACCATCCTTCCTTAAGTCCCACTTCTTCAAAATCACAGTCGGAAACCATCTCACAGATGGAAGGATGCTGTTGCCCCCTCACATACTTTACTCATGTGTTTATTCATTTAGTTTTAAATTGTACAGACCAGATTTCCCTTCTCTCTGAAGCAAGGCAGAAAATCAATTGCTACTTTAATTACATGACAGTTGATCTAAAAAATGGATGAATACAGTCACCAAGAAAAAAAGTCTATACAGTTAAACTGAAAAACTTAACCATCGATAACAAACCAAAGTAGTGTTTATACTACTGCTTATTTTGGTCAACATCACAGCAGTTACGATGCCTTATTACATGTATTTTTCAACCTCTTCCTTAGAATAACTGCTTCCTTATTTTGTGCAAACTGCAGGATTTCTGATCAAACAGTATTTTTATTTTTTGCTGAAGGACTTGAGGCTTTTTAAACAGGATCTGTTTATACGCAGGATCTGTAGACAACAGATCACGCGCAAAAGCCTTGAGGGTCACTGCTTTTCAAAGAGGACATCTGACGAACAGACAAGGAGAACACTTTCTAGTGAGTTTTTACTTCTTACCTTAAATCTCAAAACATTTCACAAGAGAAGGGAAAAAGTGGCACAACTGTCTGTGAAGACTGTAATCCAGGTTTAAGAGAGCAGTATGTTCACTTGAGATGATAGAGATTTAACATGTTAAGGCCATGGCTCCACTTTAACAGCATTTCTGAAATAATCCGTGGTCAGACACTTAAAAATTGTTTATTAGCTACCGAGTTTTGCGCATGGATGAATGTGCGCTCCTTTTAGCTTGAAGAGATTTTTCAGTGGGAACCGGAGTTACAAAATATGGAGGGACTGCCACCCTACCTCCAGGGTACCGTTTTTGACTAGAAGACAAATCTGTACTTAATCTGTAATCATCATATGAACAAATATTAATTAAATTATTATGGTAACACAGCGACTGTAACAGCAAATGTCTCGGCACATTTCTCATAAAGACAAATACCGTCCTCTTTACTATTCCCTTAATGGGGTGTACACAGAAGATAGATGTCCTGTACACAGTAAATCAGTTTTGTGAAAAGTCACAAACCTTCCTGAAAAGTGCAATTTGCTGGTATTTGGCTGGAGGTTAATAATCTGCAATATATTTATATAAATCAATGTGGAATGTAGCCGGACTGCCTATAACCCCAACACATGCAAATAGAGAGGAGCCAGACAGGTCTGAACATCTGAACATAAACACTGGAAAATATTTCCAACTGTATGATTCCTTTGTGTTGACCTATATTTACCTAAAAATGTTCTAAAACACCTTTTTTTGCCAGGTATTTAATACACTGGCAGGATTATCTTTTCAACTATAGCAGAATTATAATTCAAGAAAAGAAGGAAAAAAGATTTCACTGTATAGAATAGAGAAGGAACATGTAATTTCCAACTCATTGTGGAGGGAAATGCTGATTCTCTGTTTAATTCTTCTGTATGTGGCTTATTTTGATTCTGGCATTTTCTGGCACAGCAAAATAAAGAACTCAGAGGAGTGCAACTCTAGTCATTAAGTAATAATTTTATCACTGAGTAATAATATTATCTTTCCTACTTATATACCCTTTATGTGAAACACTAAAAGCTTTACTGTTAATAATAAAAACACCAGATCCTGCATGAGGCTGGGTGGAAGCACATTGTGATTACTCACAAAAAAATACAGCTTCTGCCTCAGAAAGACAATAATTTAAAGCACAGTTTGTATGAATCTGCAATGTTACAAAAAACAACATCCGGCACTGCCCATGCTCAGCATTTTGCAAACAGAAAGACACAGCCTATTTATTTAGTACTTTCCACAGTAATAAAAATACTTTTAATGAATTATATTCTTTCATATCCACTGTGAGAAAATAATCCATGAAGTTGTCTTCTTTACCTGGAACATCTCTGCTGTCTACAGTGAACAACTCTCAAGGTACTTCCTCATGATTTTCTGTACGTGACAGGTTAGTTTTTGCATGTGATTGCCCCTCCGGAACAGGCAACAGCAAAAGGCCTCTGATTTAAATAGTTACTATGTGGACGCTGTCCTAAGTGAAGTAAATGTACCTCAATTAACACATGATTTCCATACTGAACACTTTGTAAACGCAAGCCCTGCCCTTCTATTGTACTTACAAAAGAAGCGTTTGAATTATTTGATTAAAGTCAGATCGCTATGGGAAATCCTGCAAGTATTTAACAAGATGTTTGGCTGGGAGTCATACACCGCCTGATGTGTGGATCTGAACTGGAACATTGTTGAACAGACACTTAGGGAGTACCTGTGTTCTAATGCAGACATTTTTCCAAGTTAATGGAAAGTAAAAAGTTACAAGTAAAAAAAAATTATCAGCTACAAATCTATGTCTCTCTTTTACGTGTCCAGCGTCCAGTGCCTAGTGGATCTTACTGTAACCTAGCAGCATACCTGCCTTCATACAAAAATACTCTGTTTTTTTTGAAAGCAGAAAACTAGATGATGCATGTTAAAGTCTCCATAGCTTTTTACAACAAGTAATTCGACAAATACAACCTCAGTTTATCTTAATTTTACAATATACAGGCTGAAGGCGTAATTTTTTATAAGAAGACACAGTTATGCCAATTTCTGTGAAAACTATTGCATCTACTGACTGGAACTAATTTGGTAACTGCTTCTGGAAAGTCCTTAAATGTTACTGTACTTGCTCTTGGGATTCTCTGAGACCTGCTATAAATTTACCCACTTTCACACAGAATAAACAATTTTTTCCTCAGCAAACTTCTTAGATAACAACAACAGAGATCAAACCCATCAGCCCAAGCCACCTGCGAGAAGTAGTAAAAATCAGATGTGAATGTAAGACCTGAAAAACTCTAGGACATAAGTTCTCTTGGCTATTGACAGATGAGTAAATACATCTGGAAAATTAGCTAGATCATAGTCAAAGAGAAGACCAAAGAATCAGATACTTGCTGCCAATGCATCCAAAGGGTGTTATTTTTACTGCAGTAGGACTAATCCAACATGAACACATATCCCTCTACTTTGCTGGTCACTCACAGCGCTGAACAAAAACACACACTTTATGCTCTAAAGTTACATATGGATTTACTTCCGTTTTCTCGGGAACAGTGTCTTCCTAGCAAGAGTTGCTTCCTGGTTTATGTGTGACGGAGAAAGAGAATTAGAACCACTGATTTATGAGTAGGAGAAATGTTTTAAGATGACTGTGATGTGGTAAGCAGTGGCACAGTAATATGCTAAAGCTTTAAGATTTCTAAGTCTGGATAGAGACTGAGATAGAAGGAGTCTGGTGGTCTCAACCTAACTCCGAAAGGTATTTATCCACATGACAGAAAACCAGCATAGAATTTATGTATGATTGACAGCATTTACCCAACCACCACAAGATTGGGACACCAAGACTGTCACAGGTTGTGATTGAGTTTTATTGACAAACACATGAGGAGGAGCCTGAACAGGTTCTGTTTTCACTGCCTTTGGCTCAGGTTAATCCTGTGAGTCGTAATTTCCAAGGGCACAGAAAATTTTAGCCTCTCATACCTACAAGCATTGAAGAGTATCAGTCAGGCATCCTCTGAGTCCAAATTTCAGCAGCAGCCTTAGACTCTTCTGTTCTGTGGAAGCCACACAGCGGCAAGCCCTTCTTTCACCCCAACTTCCTAAACTATGTAGTCCTTGAAAAAAGACCCAGGTTTCCCTGTACTTCTTATATTAACTACCATCTCCTTTCTTGTTTTTGAAGAGGAAAAGAGACTCTACTAACAGAAACCAGACTCTACTTGGAATCACATATACTCAATGTATTGTAATAAAGGGGTCATATTTCAGGTGAAGAAGACAATAACTGGGCAAGTGCAGTGGAACATATGAATTACGAGAATCATTTTCCACATAGCAAAACAGGAAATAGAACTTCACACTCTAAAACATATGACAGAACTCCTTCCCTTTGTTCAGGACATGCTGCTTTGTCTCACCTTAATCAGCAATCACCTACTCCTCCATGTC